TATAAAAACAAAGATGGATATATTATTAAGAGAGAATATGCAAACACTATTTCCCAATTAGAAAACAGTATAAGTTGATGAAAGAATAGGAAATGTTTTTCTCTTTAATAATATATTTTTGGACATTAAAAAAATTATAGGGAGTTTGTGATCCAAATAATCCCTCTAAAACAATTGAGACACTTTCGGAATTTAAGTGGTATATTCTACAAAGAAATAATCTCCTGAATATGTTAAACGTGATGATAAAATTGGATATGACAGTTAATTTGAATCTCACAACTATTTTGATAATGAAATAAATGAGGAAAGATGAAATATATAAACAGAGCGTTTCACTACTAGACAACTGAAAATATACCCCTATAAACTATATAATGATTAGTTTCTGTCAGATGTAGACATTGCCCATCTCTTTTTTATTTTCCTGCCTCAGAAAAAGAATGGCAGACAATTGATAGACAAATAATTAGTATTGCACAATTTAAAAAAAATTCCCTTAGTTTTTACCCATATTTTAAAATTGGTCTTTCATAAAATGTAATTTCTTAACCTTTTATAACCTTTTGATTTTTAAGAACACAATTATATTTTGATAATTCTTTTTATACAATAATTTTTATAATTTAGCACACTTAAGGATTTAATTTTAAAAAACATTCAAATGTCTATTATGAATGCTTTAAAATTTAGATTTCCAACAGAATTGTCAAGAAACAATGTATTTATTAGTACCCTGTATCATATAACCTCTCTATGAGAGCATTTATTTTTTTCAAATGTATTCTATTCATTCAAGATTGACATGTATTATTTAGTTATGCTTTGGTTTTAATATATATACTTAAATAAATTCTAAACATTTTCTGAATATGTATTATTAATGTACTTTTCTTTTTCACAGGTTTGAAAGATACACCATTCATATAAATATTACCTAACTCTCCACCATTTGATTCCTCTATATCACGTACAGTCTTGGATAGTCTGAGAAAAATGCATATTTTTTTATATCAAAGGGAAACTAACAAACGACAAAAACCATTCTTATTAATATCTAGACCAAAGTTGAACAACAATTGAACTTGGAAATAGCTTTGAAACCTGTAATATACTGCATTTTGTGAGCACTCGAAATGAAATAAAATGAATTTCTCTAGGGCCACACAACTAATATATTGGTCAGATGAGATCCACATTTATTATTTTAAGTAATTCCACATATCCCTACCATGTTATTCCAATTGCTTGAATGTATTTGTTTCCATAAAAGTTTTAGTTCTCATAAAGGTTATGTTTCATTTCTCCACTTTTCAAGGTATCTCTCAAGAGGCAACATGCACTGTGACAGGACTAGAGGTACAATTTAAATGGCTACATGCTTACTAGAGTATTTTGCTACTATGGTAGCTACAATTCTGAAACCTTCAGACTATTTCAACTTTTTAGAAACAAAGCCACTTAACTTGCATTAAAGTTGCCTGCTATTTAAAAATATTCAAATGCAGTTTTTATCATTTTAATTTATAAATTAGAAATCTTTGTTCTTGTAAAGTGAGATAAATCCTCAATTTATTAATTTTATCTTAGTGGTTTGAGACATAGTTGCACTTCATTTTCTGTAAAATAGGGATAAAATTAATATCTATATCTAGTAATATTGTGAAAATTAAATCATGAATAAAAATGCATTCTGCATATGGTAGCAGATAATATTAGTTGGTTTACTCTCATCACATATTTGGGAATTATTTGTGAAAATACTTTTCCTAATAATACTTGAGAGAAAATTTTCCTACTTTTGTAGGTAACATTTTAGAAGTTTTAACTTTTTAAATATACTTAAGGGTAATGGCAATAAAATTTATGCTAATGAGAAAAATATCATAATGCATAACATGGCAACTTTGCTTTTCCCAAACATTTGAAGTGATATAAAAAGAGGTGCGATAAGTTTAATTATATTGGTCCATTTTTACCATAGACTAGTGATGACATTTTTATTGTTGCTGAAAATAATTTACTCTCAGTTCAAAATTAGATTTAGTACATACATAGAATACATGACCTCAAATTGAATTTTAAGACCTACTATTCAGAAAAATAGGCTTTTGTACCTTTACTTTTAATTACCAATTTTGTGCCCTATACTTAAAATTTAAAAATTGGTGAAGTCACTCCCTTATTTCATATCATGATGGAAAGTGATGGAAGTTTGAATGAAAAATAAAGTAATAAAAGTGTGTGTAAAGAAGATACCAGAGTAGAATTACCAACATAATTTAATAACATGTTTTTATAGTATCATTGCATTCTACATGCCTTCATTGGGACTTAAATTAGTGTACAATTTTGGTTATCCCTATAGGAGATATCACACTAATGACAGACTATCACACTAATGATAGTATTGATTTGAAAATTATATTTAAAATATGACAAACTAACAAAGTACTAAAATTCACATCAGAGATAATGTTATATTGTCATCCACCTCTGTATGCTTACACAAGGTCAAGGGCTCATAATGAAGTATCCTGGTTGGCTTAGGTCTCTTTGATTTGGTTATCCTGTCACTCTTTGAAATACTGATTCTCCAGTGCTTTGCCTTCTTGTATATCTTTTTTCCTTTTATTGGCCAAGCTAGACATTTAGAATATCTGATTTTGTTCACAATGAAGAAATCCACATGATAACTAATGCCAAACAGATGAAAAGTTTGTACGTGAATTTTTTTTTTTTTAACCATGCTGACGATTACTGGATCCATCAGTATATAGAATTCTTTCCAGAAAGTTAAAAAAAGAGAAAATCCATCATCATCATCTGTCTATAAAATCTTAACGTATCTTCAACATATAAGGAAAAATAATGTTACAATAAATAAAAACTGATGTATAAAACAAAAAATTGGATATGTCAACTAAAAGAAATAATGGGTGTATTTTTAAGCTGTTCCATTAAATGGTCTTAAATGAAATAGGTCCTAAATAGGACAGATTATAAGGAAACCTTTTCAAAAAATTCAAAAAAAAAAGATTTTAAAAGTTTACTGAGAGTAAGAAATAACTGCATTGGCAATTATTTAAAGTTTTGAAATTATAAGCATGTTCTTAAGATAATGGACAATGATTTTACTTAGCTATCTGCTAGAATGTATAAAGATCAGTTTTATAAATAATAAAGATGAATTATTAAAAGTTCTCTTATTTAGATTAAGCCTTGTTTTGGAAGTCGTAAAGTCAATCTTCACAGGAAGTTCAACCTCAGTTATCCCTCTACTGGCACAATTATGAGAAAATCTAATAATTGAAACAAGTTAATTGAGTATTTGGCCTTCCAAATCACTTTTATACAACCAGTGGTTATCTGAATGTAAACAGTCCTGAAAATTGCCTCTACCCTCTATCTCAAAAAACAAAAAAAACAAAAAAACAAATACCAAAAAAATACACCCATAATCTTGATGCAAGATTGATATGTTAGAGATTTGTAAGAGTTGTATCTCCTTATTTGAACAATGCTGACTAGACACTTGAACTCCACAAAATATATTCTGTATGAGATTGACTGGAAAATGTTTTTCCTAAGACCCTTTGGGAAATATGATGATATGTTTGATTTTTACTCATTTCAAAAGTTTGCTTGATTTTCTTTTTGCTTTTAAAAAATATGTTAATTTTTATTTTACAAATGTTTAAAAATTATAATTTGATTCTTGTCTAGGCTTTAAACCCTAAAAGTAATGGTTTATTTTACAATACAATTTCAGCATGACTTGATCTCACTGTAAGTCTGTAGGCTTCCTCTCATCAGAGTCTTTTTCAACATTTATCTCCTAAAATAGACAATATAAAACATGGACATACTATAAAATAATCAAGTCTATCCAAGATGTTTTGTTAAGCATATTAAAGTAGTTTAATCTGTTACTTCATCTACTAAGGACTTGACCCATCATAATATTTAGAAAAATGCTATAATATTAAATGTGTGGAAATTTTGAGAAGTCATTGTTTTTGAAATTTAGGTTACAGAAATTCCTTTAAAGAAAAAAAATGATATGATTACCCATTATCTAAAATACTGTCTCAAGAAACAGTATTTTTATTATTGATCAAAACCTGTAAAATTGGATAAGCCAATGAACTATGCTATTAGAAATTGCTTAAAGTTTTCATAAGCCAGATCCTCCCCAAATATTTTGCTAATTAAAAAAATTGCAAATCCAAAGACTTCATTATAATTTGAATGCTCTTTGTAGTTCAATAGGCTTGGAATATTTAATCAAAAGATTAGCATCTCTGCTACAGCAGAATGACAAAAAAAGAAGATATACATATCAGTATTTATTCTAGTGTGCGTATTGTCTACAAAGCAATTTTTATAAAATGGAGACTCTACACAGAGTCTACACATTTTATAAAATGGAGACTCTAACAACAGAAATAGGTCACTGTGTTATTCTAAAACAATTTCAACATGCGTTAGTATAAAGTCACAATTCAAGGAAAATGTATGTATTTTTAGAGAAAATTCTAATCATAGGGTGTAAATCACATTAAGTAAGATTGAAATACTGTTGTTCAGAAAAGTCTATATTCCTTCATTGCTATATGTAAAGAAGCTGATTACCTGTATCAAAAAATCTTTTGATGGTCAACCATTTGTACATATCATTTCACTTTATTTGCTGCTCTTTTGATACTGAATTAAAGCAGATGCAAACTGGTCCCTTATTGTTTTGGGCAGTGGCTAAACTGATGTGATTTTTTTTTTTTGAAGTGGGAAGTGTTTTTCATAAAAAAATCTTTAACTTCATAGAGGTACACATACTTAACTGCTAAATACCTGATCTTTTGGAATAATGCAGACCTACCTTGATTTCCACATAAGCCTCTATTCATTCCATGAGACAATGTTTTCACAAAGTGTAAGGCAAAACAAGTGTTAAATTACTTAACAGAACTCATAATTTAAATAATTAAAACTAATTTGTGTTTAAAGCTATTTGCAGATTTATTAGAGAAACAAATACAAATATGCATTTCTACAGAACTGTTTTTTTCCAAAATGAGCTTAAAACTTGTTCCACAGTTTTTACTTGTTTATATATCTATGGTAACCCAAGTATTGGCTTCTGTACCACTTATAATGAGACAATTGCCTTTCCATTGCAATTATAAAAAACTATTAAAAAAAAATTCGGCACATACACGTTAAATATTTTTCCTTAAAAAAATAATCTAATCAAAATATTGAATACTTTAGATTTAAACAATATTTTATTTACAAATCTGATTTGATGTACTTTATTAATTATACAAGGTAATGCTTCAATTTTCAAGAACAGTGGCTTTTTTTGTTGTTTATATAGACCAGTGGAATGACATCCTATCTAGTAATATGTACTATACTTCAATTTTTTCAAAGTTAACATGACAAATTTTCTAATACTTTCATTTTCTGAAAAAATGTTATTTAATCGGGGCACATATCTGATGAAACAAAAATAACATGCAGAATTCAAAAAATAATCTGTTAAAGTAATATGATACTTACCCTTTATGTAAAAAGACATCTATGAACAACAGTGCATAACAATATTATGTATTCATGTTTATGAGAAACCAAGCAGGAGGCAAAATGAGTTCATCCTGTTTTCTAATCATGTGCAATTTCATATGGCTGTTTGCATCATTTAAATAAAGTGTGTACATTAAATTTATAAGACTGTATTGCACTCAAAATTACTATGTATAGCCATGCTTGCCCTGTATTTAATGAGTGATGAATTTCTCCCACTAACAG